CTAGCTGTCTTTATAAAATTAATTTTTTTTGTTATACTTGTTCACATAATTATGTCCAATAGTGTAACTTCAATGTTTAAAAAAAGCGTGTTAATGTCCTATTTATTTGCGATAATAACAATAAATAGTTTTGTTTCTATAGAAATAACAATTTAAAAAATATCAGGAAAAATGTTTCTTTTCACCAGGCCCCCCCAGTAGCACAGCGGCATGTCTTTGGACTTACAACGCTAGAAACCGGGTTTCGATACCAGTGGTGGGGAGTGCACAGACAGCCCATTGTGTAGCTTTGTGCATAAATTCAAACAAACAAACAAAACTGTTCACCAGGAAAATTACAAAAAATACCCCGAGGGATAAAGGATACAATTTCTGATCTACTGTTATTACATATATACCGTTCGTTCCTTTCAAGTTTTCACCTAAATGGTGTTCGAAATACCAATCAATTTTTTATGTTTTTTTGCTACACAATGGGCTATCTCTGCTGTGCCCACCACGGGTATCGAAACCCGGTTTCTAGCGTTGTAAGTCCGTAGACATACCGCTGTGCCACTGGGAGGGGGGGGGGGGGTTATATCACGGGTCAGGTGTGGCTTAGCGGTTAGTGTGCCGAGCTAGAGATCAGAGGGTCCAAGGTTCGAGCCGGGACATGTCATTGAACACGCACTGCACTTTCAGCTATGGATAGGCTATAAAAGTGACTGTCAATCTTGCTATTCGATTAAGAGTAGCCGTGTAGGAGGAGAGTCGCTGATTGATTGACCTCCTCAGGTCAGCAGTTCTAAATTGGGATGGTTATGCTGGAACCCTAAGGGTTTCTGACCAACATTATTTACATAAATAAAGAAATGAGGAAAGTAATTATATAAAAGTGTAGATTATTAGTAGAAGTATTCAATTTTTATTTATGTTACTTAATACTGGTGACTGCTACACTTAGCACACTTTTAAGTTCAAAGAGCTGTGTATTTATTGTATTAAATTAATTAACATACGCCTCAAAATTTTTAAATTTACTTTTAGTATATTACCAAATTTATATCTTATATAAAGTAAAAATATGCACATTTTAATAAAATATGAAGTGTTATATATGTATGTTTAGAACACGCACAAGGCTTAGGATGACTTCGAAAGTTTGTTTTAGTCTGTTAAAAGATTGGTCTATATACTGGTTCTTTGCGATAAAGAACATATTTTCATCCCAATCTATATTCTTTGTAAAACACCGTCCCACTGATTGTGTTTATTTAACTAATAATACCCTATAGTTGGGTAACGTAGTACTTACATCTTAAAATTTCAATTTAAAATATTTAGGACATTGCTTTAAGAGAAAGTTGAGAGACTTTTAGTACTTAGTAAGAGATGTTTTACCTACTTGGTTAATCCATCCACACGTGTACAATTTTTCGAGGAAATGCTTCGACGATACGAAATTCTGTCTTAAGTAGCTTCTGTATTATCGTTGCTTAAAGAAATATTTAAGTTCATGTTTCTTTTGTTTTAGTGAAGCATCATGTTGGTGTTAGGTTTGTTAAATTTAGTTGGACCTCATTAGAGAACTTGTGTCTTCGGAGAGTAGTACAGTGTGAAAACTTATTTAAACTTTAATGAAGTACTTAGATCATGTTTTCTTCTAGGTAATAGTTTGTGGCCAAGTTTTAATTAGCCCCGTTGGAACTGTTGGCACAACTTTTGAAATACACTTAACAAGATTATAAGGTTAAAAGATTATTAGATCAACGACAGAAAAATTTAATTAGCTAATAATTTCTACAGCATGGTGTGTTGAAAATGTAATCACTTCACTAAATATAGCGTGAACGTAGTAGTCTATTAACACGAACAAGTTCATTTACGAACTGCTTTTAGTTTTGAAACTATAATCATTTACGAACTATTACAGCTGCTTTTAGTTTTGATACTATAATCACTTTAGAAAAAAATATATATATACACGTGTGTGTAATTTTATAAAAAGAGTCTTTAAAGTAGTCCAGCGTAAATAATAATGACCAATTGGAATTTTTCGTACTAATGTTAAACACATTGTCCTCCCGTGGGATAGCGGTAAGTCTACAGATTTGCAACGCGAAAATCCAGAGTTCGATTCCCCGCTGTGGAAATAACGGATAGCCCAATGTGGCTTTGTTTTAAAACACGCATACACAGTTAAACATATTAATGTATTGATATATTGAATAAAGCATTTTCTGTAAGAGCAAAGGTTCGAATAGATGTTCGGAATTGTTTTGTTTTTTTTTGTTTTTGCTGGTAATTTTCTCAAACGTGATAAATATTTGTTGCTTATCAAGTATTATCAAGAAAGTGTACCGCTCCTTATAAAATAGTTACTTAAAATCTAATTAATTAACAAACTGTAACTATATTTTGAATAATTAATTAGATTGAAAAAGAGTCCCCTATACTGGCAGGTGACTGCTAGATGTAAAAAATAAAAAATTTAGCTAACTCTTATAATACGTAAGCAAAGTATAATCAAACAACATCTATGCTGAAGAGGGTTCCAAAACGAGATGGGCTATTCTTTTCATTTTCGTAAAACGTCTCAAGTGTTTCTCTGATGTGATGTACCAATATCGACATGAACGCGAGCATCTAGCTAAGATCTATAACATAGTTTCTGTCGTTGAGTTGTTTACAGACACTAGAGGGACTTAGGAATATGGGTTTATTTGTTGTTGTTGTTCTCGTATGCCTAACAATACTGAAATATTCGGACATTTGATCTCGGTGGCTATTTTTTGTAAGTTTATTCTGGATTTCGGTTTGATATCTTTACAGCTCATTTAATCGTCTGCCGTTTGTCTTTTATTTCGTGTCTGATT